GGCTCCATGCTGAGGTCGAGTCCGGCTCTTTCTAACTCTAAAGCCCAAGTTCTGCTTAACAGAGATTATGAGGCGTGCCTGACTGCGGGGCCCCGATAACAGAAAAGGACGTTCCCAGGATGCGTGAAGGGCTCTGCGTGTCCTGAGAGGTGCTCACAGGTACATTGACATCAGAGCCATGGGGGAAAGAATGCTTCGTTGAAAACCTGTCTCAAATCCCTCACTTTCCTGGAGCTCTGACTTCACACCAATTGGCAGGTGCTGCAGGAGTGGCTAGCCCCGCCAGGGCAAGGAAGCCTTGGTCTAGGAGGTTAGGAAACAGCTCAATCACATGGGGGAATTAATTCCTCAGGAAGAGACTCAGACTTGTTAACCCCAAACCAAAACTCGTTGCCAATGAGCTGGTACCAACTCACTAGCCACCCTATAGGATAGGGTAGAACTGTCCCGTGGGTTTCTGAAACGGAAATTCATGGGAATAGAAAGTCTCATCTTTTTCTCAAAGAGCAGCTGGTTGCTTTATATTTGAGAGGGTACCCCCCAAAAAGCTATGTATTTAAATTTTTTACAAAACAACCTATCACCTTCAAAGTACTCTCCATTGCACTTAATAACTTGTCAAATCTGCAATTCCATTCTTGGAAACAGTTTTCAAACTCATCTGTTTGGATGGCTGACAGCCCCACCCTCATTTTTTCTTCACTTCTTCTACATTGTCAAATCGCTGTCCTTTCATGAATCTCTTCATTCATGGGAAAAAAAGAACTCACATGGAGCAAGGTCAGGTGAGTAAGGTGCATGGGGCAAAAGGCATGCTTTTTTGCCAAAAACTGGCACACTGAGATTGCTGCGTGAGCAGGTGCATTGTCGTGGTGGCAAACCCAGTCCTTACCTGCCACAAATCAGTCCTTTTTTGTGCATACTGTTATGCAATCTTTTCAGAACCTCTAAATAGAAAGCTTGATTAACAGCCTGACCTGGTGGAATGAACTCCAGATACACTATCCCCCTCACATTAAAAACCAAACCAAACCAAATAAGCATCCTCTTGATCTTTGATTTCACCTGACCGGCTTTTTTTGGGGTGAGGAGCTGATGGCATCTTCCATTGGTTTGATGGATGTTTGCTCTCAGGGTCATAAGAATAGCACCATGTTTTGTCACCAGTAATGACCTTGGGAAAAAGTCTGGGTGGCTTTGGAGCAGTTCTTTCAAAGCACAGCATGTTTCCACTTGACGCTCTTTTTCCTGGTCAGAACTAGAGGCACAAATTTCCCAGCGACCCTTCTCATTACCAAATCTTCCATTAAAATTCACTGAACCAAGCTCCAAGATAGTCCAGATAACTTCCCCATCTCTTCAATGGTCCATAATCAGTCTTCGAGCACAAATGCATGGATTTTTTTCAACATTTTCATCCATTTGGGAAGTGGACAGGCATCCAGAACGAGGTTTGCCATCAATTGACATTTCACCTTTTTTGAAACCAGAAAACTACTCGCACACTGGAGTTTTCCCCATAGTGCTGTTCTTATAAGCTGTGTTCAACATCACAAGTTTCTGTGTGGCATTTTTCCCATGCAGTTAACAAAATTTCACAGCCACATGCTGTTCTCTTAAATCGGTCATCACAAAAAATGAGGCTCAAATGAAACTTTCATGAAAAAATTCACTGACCCGAGAGAACCTTCCCAGGTGAAGCCACTAGGTGCGCTAACTCAGAGCTCACCTAGTGGGAAAAATGCATACCATGCATTCCGGTTTCTTTTGGGTACCCCGTCATATGTTCAAATTGCTGACCCTCAGGGGTAGCAGTCCAACACATAACCCACTACTCCCCCTGGACCTCTGAAATGAGAGCCACGGGGAACACACTGGAGGTACAAGCTGGCGAACACCACTGCTAGCCTGAGGCTGGGACTTCAATCCGCTCAGAAGACAGGCCTGGTGATTTTCTGATGAAGCCACTGAAGACCCTTATGAAGTCACCAGGAGTCAGCGTCACCTCAGGGCAGTTGGTTTGGGCAGGTGCATTTGCTGCTGGGGTCTGGAATTTGTACTCTAGATCTGTCAGCCAACAGCCAGGCCACCAGGAGCAAACCCCAGAAATGTCCACCTTCAAGCCTGTGTTGTGGGTCTCTGGCTGTGGCCTATGGCCACACTTAGTCCCTGAGACAAACCCACACCCAACATCCTTTTGAGAGGATGCCTTCAGCTCTGCTGAGGAGCCCGAGAGACGCACAAGGGAGGAGTCTGGGGGTCTAGGAACCGCTCTTGCAGGAGATGAAACCATACTGACCTAGCTGGACAGGCTGTGGGCTGCCCTTTGCACGGTGGACACAGCGCTTGCACCCCAATTAAAGTCTGGCCAAGGAAAAGGGATGCACCTCTAATGTCCCACGAAACCCTTGTAGTCTGCACTCCCTCTTCCTGAGCGATACACCCTCAAGGTATCCTTGGAGAACTGCCTGCCTGCCTGAGTGGGAGATGGCCAGGCAACTCATGAGGGGAGGCAGGGGGAATGGTCCATAGGGCCAAGTTCAAGCTGCAGAAGTGGGATGTGGGGACCTGCTCCCTGGTCCTGACACAAGCAGCCCAGACCCCACCACTACCCCAGCAAGTTCCCAGAGCCTTTCACGCAGCCTCCCCCTCTGCAGGAAGCCTTGGAAAATGCTACTCTTGGCTTTACTGGACGTTTCTCCCTTTATCCCACTGCATGTATTCCTGCTGCCCGTGATCAGCTCGTTAAAATTCTCATTTAACGGTTTTCTAATGAAAGTGCTTAGTTATAAACGGCCTCATATATAAATTAGCTGCATCCTCTAAGTTTTGTGTACAGGCAGCCCCCAGTTTACAAATGAGTTCTATTCCCAAGTCTGTCTTTAAATTGAATCTGTACTTAACGCAGGACAGTTGGCATCCAACATCTGTTAATGTCTTAGTATATAGTCCCCAGTGTACTTTCCCATGCATCAAAACATCAAGGCAGTACTTTCAGACACATCAAAACATCTTCGACATATATAACGCAGCAGTAACAGCGTCTTGAGGTGTGCTGCAAAGTGGCACCTGTTTAGCATTACGGACCATTGTCTATGTCCAGCCTTCACAAGCTAGTTTGTAACTTGGCCTTCCAAAACTGGGCATTTGGTACCAGGGGACCACCTCTACTTTTTAAAAATTTGATTTTTGAGTTATTTTCTAATTTCTATGATGATTTCACTGAATTGACCTAGTATTTAAAAATTTACCCAAGTATGGTTTTTTCCTTGTCAGAACTGCTAATGTAACTGCATGGTGGCCAGGATACAAGGTCTACCTTTGGTAAAGGAGCCTTAGTGGTAGAGTGGTTACCCACTGGGCTATTCATCATGAAGTCAGCAGTTCAAAACCAGCCCTTCCACGGGAGAAAGACAAGGCTTTCTAGCTGTTAAGTCCACAGGGGTGGATCTACCCTGCCCTGTAAGGTCACTGAATCAGCAATGATTTGGTGTTTTTGAAATATGACCTGGCACAAGATCAATTCTGTAAGCATACCAGATGTGTTCTTTAAAACATGTTTTGTTTCTTTTACCTGTACCCCCATATCCATCAAATTCATTAGCTGCACTTCTTAAACCTTCCATGCCCTTGTCTTCTGCTTCCACTTTTACCGAGGGGGGTTAAAGATGTTCTTTGTGTGGGTAGAATTAATGTATTTCTCCTCATACGTGTGCTCATTTAAAAACATAATTTCAGGAATATTATTAGGCACTAAGGTAATTAGGAAGTTGGTAAGGGTTCTCTCTTGGTAACTGAAGCCTTTCACCGAAGGTAAGAAGCTATTGCTAGTGACTTATGGGGTGGAGCCTCACAGGAGAGCAAGTGAAGTATTGCCAGGAGGGGCCCTGCCCATACGTGCAAGGGTCCGTGCCCAACAAAGCATGCTTAAACATGCCTGCAACGCACAGCTGTGGACACGCTCTCTCAGGACACTTGTCTTAATCTCCTTGGGCTGCCTCAAAACAAAGGTCCAATCAAAACAGCCGCTTCCCAGGGATCTGCTGGGCCACTTACATTCAAGGTAGAGAGGTCGGTCAGCTCAGAAAGTTGGCGCAACTGCTTTTAGACATTCCAAAGGACTAACTTGGGTCAACTGTCTTGAAGGACACAGGACAATCACGCGGACTCAGTAGAAAACCACAGCCGTGAGTCGAGAAAAGGCCAGCAGAGGTGAGCTGAGGGTTTTTCCCATCACTATGCGCTCGGCTCCCTTCTGGAGGGTAGCAGGGCTGTCTTATGCCGTCCCCTCTACAGGCCTGCCCCTGCCCCTTCTCATCTTTTCCTTCCTCGGATGCAACTGAGGAGCACTAGTGGTCTTTCAGGGAGGTTCAAACTGCCGTTCTGAAGTGGCGGAGATCCAAGAACACACAAGTTGACATGGGAACACGGTGGCCAGAAATACAGATCTACATGTTGAGTGATAGCTTCACATTTTGATGTTTTGATAAAGGGTTCCACGATTCTGTAGCAATCGCTAACTTACTCTCATATTAAAAAGGGGAAATTAAGGCTCTGAACGTAACCTACCCAAGGGCACATAGGAAGTTCAGCTGAGCCCTGCAATGTTCACTCGTTGATGCTTTTGAGTTTGGGACTGGGAACTGGGTGAGCCCAAGAAATAAGCACACAAATAAGCTCTATCTAGAAGACGCATGTACTGGATAGAATACAAACCACCCAACTTGACTGGGGGAAGAAGGCAGATTTGAAGGAGAACGTCAGATGCCGAAAATAAAAGGTCAAAAGTCACCAAACCCTGCTGTATGTGGCCAAACCGCAGCCACCATTATAATACAGCACAGGTGACGCAGCTGTGTGTGTGTGTGTGTGTGTGTGTGTGTGTGTGTGTGAGCCATCATTATAATATAGCACAAGTGAAGCAGCTGTGTGCACACGCACGAGAGAGAGAAAGGGAGGAGAAAGGATTGGCCTTCTGAGAACAACCTATGAACACACTCTTCAAAAAGACAGCATGAGAAATTTAATACCATCTCATAAAACCTATTAATTAATTTCACAGCAAACAAGATGGTAAGTTTGCATGATAGCAGGTCAAACACACCCACAAGTTAGAAAGTTGATTAAAGATTGACAAATGTGCATTTAAAAAATGACGTGTACACGTCTATAATTTCACACACACACGTACACACGTTTACAAATGGAAAACCAGCACTGCCAGACATGACTACTGTATGCTCACAATCCCACTGCATTGTCACACAGTTCGTGTGTCCCAGGTCCCTGGTTTATCCCATTCATCAGAATGTCTGAGCATGATGGCACCCTGACACAGACGACGTGCGTCAAAGTCCATCAGGCGTTGAAAGTCAGGATGAATTGCACCCACCAGTGTTCTTGGATGAACAAGAGCTTGAGTGGCAGACACCCTCTGGCTCCAAGTCTTTGGAGCACAAGCCCCAGCAGGGACCAGACTCCAAGGCTTCCTCTGAATTCTGGCTCGAGGGGGTGGGAGTGAGGGGAGGATATGGCAGAAGCCTCTTGCCTACATCTGATCTCCACGCGCTGTCCCCACAGCACCCCTTCACTTCCTATTTCATGACTTTCTCCTGTCAAACCAGAATAATGAAAGCACGTGAGCTGTCATGTGGTTAACAACGGGCACCTGTTAGTAATCGTCACAACATGGAAATGACATATGAGAATCAATAGAAAATATTTATTTTTTTGCAATCCACAGAATTTATAACCCCAAAGCCACATGATCAATTTCTCAGAATTGTAAGCCATGAACATGGTCCTTAACGAGAGCCCACCCCGAGGTGAAGATGATGTCTGGCCATGTGGAGCAGGCATGGCAGGGCCCACGAGGACGCTGCCCTCTCACGGTCCTGCAGCTGCACTCCTCACACAGCAGGTAGCTGTCCAGCATCGTGCCATCCGACTCCGGCAGAGGTCCAAACTCTAAACCAGGGCCTCGGCCGCACCTCGGGGACTTAGTTGAGAAGCGGTGGAAATGGAATAGGAGCCCTATCTCCCCGGTGGCCAGCAATGGGACCACAGTGCATGTGATGGGAGGACCTCCCTGGCTTTGGATGCCGCAGACTTTGAACCGAGGCGGCCCTATTGAAAACAGTGCCCACCTCCCACGCAGGTCGTCAAGTGAGAGTCCCATTCCCACTAGGAGCTCAAAGTCCCCTGAGGCAGCCCAGGTTTGGACTAAGTAAACGTTAATACTCCACACAAAGACACCATTAAAATTTTACAAAAATTTTTAAAAGAAAAATCCAACTCGAAACATCCAGTGACTGATTAACTCACGGGATTGCTTTTGTTTGTTCTGCGTTTTAGTACATTTCTCCATAGCTCACATTAGCGTCTACCCATAAAACAATGCTTAGCTATTTTAATAATAGCTGCTGATTACAAACACCTGGATTTTAGCTCCAAGGCAAGGCTGAGCCGCCACATTAACAATCACGGGAATAACGAACCGCCCTGGAACATTACAGACAACGCAGCCAGCCCTGAGAGTTGGACAGTATCGGGACGGTGACTCGGGTGGGTTAGCCCGCGTCATTGAGACACTATGATCCCAGGGCTCCTGCGCACTGGGCAATGGCAGCAGCCCGTCTGCTTTGGGAGACCACCATTCATTACCTCAGCGAGTGCCCGGGCAGACCACTCTGAAGCCCTGCGAGCCCAAAGGCTTCCTCCACTCCTTCGGTACGGAGGTCAGCACACAGGAGTGAGGTGATGCAACTCCAAGACTTCCTGAGGAATCGATCAGCAATGCGTGCAAATCTGCCACCAGCCCGGAAGCAGGCTGTGTGGGAGGGAAGGGGTCGCGGCCCCTGGCAGGCAGGTGCCCGCAGACACCTGAGCAGTCCTCAAGGTGGGAGGGCACCGGATTCCTGCAGGCGCCCCGCCCATCCGCCACCCAATGCCTTTCCATCCCGAGTCCTTAAAGGAAGGGAGGGTCACTGCCTCAGACTTAGGAAAGGGACAGAAAAGGTAACGTTCTCAGGCACTATTTTTAACGCACCTCACGTAATCCAGGTTTTTGCTTCGTGTCCTTCACCCCAAGAACGATTCGGGAAGGCTCACCATCCTTCCTGGGCGCTTCCTGCACCAGGAACACAAAGCCCTGGTTCCCGGCGGGTGGGAGTTCAGCTGTGACAGAGAAGGCAGCGGGCCTGCTCTCCAAACAGCTAGCATCGATTTGGTTTCACAGGTCATTACTTCGGGCCGCCCTGTGGCTGAAAAGGACCAGGAGACGAGCGGGCTCTCTGTTAAGAATCTAGCTTCAGGCTGCCCCTGCATCCTTGTCCAGTTAGCCAGTTAATCAAGCGGCAGGGACAAGACGTGGGATCCACCAAAGTCACGGTTTGGCCGCGGTGGCGCGGCTCTGCCTGGATACTGCACTGGCAAGAACACACGTAAACATGACAAGACGGTGTCTTCTGGCAAGTGGTACTCAGTCAATAGGAATGGAGGGCCAACTTCATTCTTTCTGGGTTTCAAATGAAGAATTCCATGAAGCATTCCAAGTACATGCACATGGTCAATTTTGACTTAAGAGTGGCAAGTTCTTCATCGTGCCAGGCTACCCCAGAAGGGCCCCTGTGAGGACCAGGGACAACCATTTCCATAGAGCCTTCCGATCACAGCTCTACAGCACCAAACCCCGCCTCATCAAGGCAAAAACTTACAGGAAACAAAATTTGCAAGCGTTGCCTACTTTCTGTTAATATGTACACAATAAAAAGACAGTAAAGATATCAGACCAGGGCAATTATGTTAGAAACGCAAGAACATCCACAGATTTTAATGCCAGTTCACATGGTGATTAGTGCTTTTGTAGGGAAAGTTCTTGTGTTGTCAAAAAAAGATCAGTCCTCTCTCAGAAAATGCATCTGGGAGCGTCGTTAGGGTTCACGCGGAGACAACGGTCTGCTGGACTTTCGTGAGGATTAGCATGAGCCTTCTGTTCCGGGTGTCACTGATCAATCTACACATTCCCGTGGGAAAAAGAAGTACCTGGACTTCGTGGTGAAACGGCCCCGAGATTCTCCAGGAGACAAGGAGGTGACAGATGGACCCCATCTCTGGGCACAGGGCTGCCTGAGAGTGCGCCTAGGGCCTCACAACCACCCCAAGTTCACCCGCCCCTCTCTAAGGTGCTCCCAGGGACATGTCCAACTCCAAGTCCTCTGCAGAACCTACCACCACGGCCTGCTCAGTATTTCAGACTGTCCTTCTCTGACCATCTGGGAGAGGGGACCCAGCTCTGCTCCCCACACCACCCTTCTAACTCACCACCCCCCTGCCCCAGAGGCACCTCGCAACAGCACCCCTGGCATGTCTACCTTCATGGCCCACAACTCTGACTCTGCTGAATAGCGTTGACACCTATGCTCCATTTAGAGTTGAACAAAGCTGAGAAATGGTTGTTTAGGTGTTTCCTTTATGAGGAAGGAGACAGGCCAGGGAGTGGCCACCACAGGGAACAGCTCGGCTCTGCCCCAGCAGGGAGGGAGGGCACTGTGAAGAACAGTGCCACTTTCCCCCACCTCAACCAAGAACTCAACATGTTCGAAGGCTGACTGCAGACTTTTCTCTAACTACTTTGCTCACTCTTTTAAGATTAAATGGATCAGGTGCCCACCCCATCCCTTCCGTTTAGGTTCCATAACCGTACCTGCCTCCTGTGCGTGGCAGAGAGCTGCTCTCAACACTGAGCAAGAGGGCCGTGCTGGTGCAGAGCGGCCACCCCCAAACGAGCACCCTGACCTGACAGCAGCTGGCGAGATGGGAGGGAGGGGCTAGACATGTCTAGTGAGTTGATCTCGACATCTTGTGTGTGACAAAGGGGGAGCTGGGGGAGAATCTGAGCCCTTGCAACATGCCCCTAGTTGCCAATTTCATTAGCATCCTGTTCCCAAGTCCCACTGGCCACCTTCTTCAGGAAGCAGCTGTGAGTCTGACAGGGTCACACGGTGGCAACGTGCACAGAACTCAAGGCACAGAGTCCGGGGAAAGAGAAGGGAGGGCGGAAGGGCGAGCCTTTCCCTCTAACAAGACGTCCTAATGCGGAACAGAGACTAACTCTGAGGAGGGGTTGTTTGGGGATGGACAAACAACACTGTATTGTTTTCAGAGCAAAGGGGACCTTGACAAGTGAGACCAACGTGAGGGAGCAGGAGGGGCCCCGCCCACCAAGGAACAGAGTGCGAGTTTTAAAGAGGAGGGTCCTGCGGCTCTAGTTTTGGAGGAAGCTGCTGGCTTGCACTTTGCAGTGGTCACTGTTCAAGACGCTTGTTCCTCGTGGCAGCAAGCACGAGCTCAGTATGAGATTGTCCCGTTCCCAAATCGTCCCAAAGTCTAGCAGCAATTGACTGGGGTTTTGTTTGCTTATTTTCGGTTTGTTAGTTTTGTTTAAAATTATTTTAACATTACAAACCAATGTCAAAAGTCCAACATCTGTTCCCAAGAACAGCCCAGGGACAGAGGCCCCACCCCCGAGTTTCTACAGGATGCCGGCTGTGCAGGGAGGGCTGGGGTGTCTCTGCAGTCCGGCGCGCCCTCTTTGCAGAAACAAAAGCACAGCTGTGGCCATCACTATCTGTAGCCCCTGGAACTTGCGCATGCCGATGAATTGCCTGAAAAATTCCAAAGAACACAGCATTGGATACGAGCATTGATCTGTACATTCCATACGCACTCCCCCTCGAAACGATGTGGGTGACTGGACTGCATGGTGAATGCTGGGAAGAGAGGCTGGCTCACGGGGAAGGGACACTGCGCCATGACCCTGTTCTGGTAGAATAGCAGACACAAACGAGGCACCCAGGTGGTTCCCGCAGCCAAGTGCTTGGCTGACAACCAAAAGGCTGCCGGGTCATGGGAGAACGACTATAACCCAGGACTCTGGTGGGACAGCTCCCCTCCCTCTCCCCTGTCCCCTCTCCTCCGGGCTGGGTTGCAAGCAAGACAGGGTCCTCTCATCAGCACCGACAACCAGCAGCAGACACTTGAGGCTCTGTGCTCCCATGGCCTCTGGACAACTGCGGCCCACTGGGCTTCAGAGGTGCTGCAGCTTAATGGGAACGCCATCAAGGGCACAGTGGGTGGTGGCACACTCACTGCAGCTCCCACCATGGCATCCTCACAGCCACAGCCCCCCAGGGGTGGGGTGGGGGGGTGGGAGGAGCACCAGTACTCACTGTAAGCCAGCTCGTCCCCCGCTCTCTTCCGGGACTGGTCACCTCTAGAGACGAGACAACAAGGAGGGTCAACAGGAGGGGAGCAGATAGCTTATGTCAATTGTACCAACAATCTATTTATAAAAACGACATTAAATTTACGTAAAAGCTGAGTGCATACGTAACTTGGGCATTCTTAGTTACTGGGCCCTGTCTTTTAAATATGGGAAGTTATTAAACAGAGCAAGGAAAATGCATGGCAGTTTGTACTAGGTTCCAGAAAATACCCGTGGTCTCAAACATCCCTTGAAGGTGAATCTAAGTTCTACAACTAGCCTCCTCATTTCAAAACGAAACAGAGCAGCTCATTCAAACTCGACCCTCAAAAGTCCTCTTGTGAGACTGCACACTGCCCACAGCCTTGAGAAACCCCAGAATCCGAGTGGCCCACAGTAGCCGTCCTGCTGGAGGACGAGCAGGAACCTTTACCTCTACTAGCCAGCTCACTTTCAAGTACCTCTAGCGGCAGCTGGTCTACTGGAGACACGAGAAAGGCAGTTCTGCTTCGGCCCCTGCTGCCTGTGAGTCTCCGGCTCCCAGTTTCTCAGTCAAATGGCCCAGGTGCACGGGCGTGAGCTTGGACAGCAGTCTGACAGAGGCCGCTTCCTCGTCCTTCAGCAGCATTACCTGGCCAATCTTGTCCTCCCAGAAATGCCTCTTCTCCCTGGGCCTCTGGGACCCTGCACATCCCTGCCTTTCCTCTACCTCATCGGCCACTCCTCCAGCGTCCTCTTAACACACCTTCCTTGCATGGACCTTCTTCTCCTCAACCCTGGACAGTGTTCCAATCAAATCTTGCAGCTTTAAATCCCACCCAAAGGCAAAGCTCCTTGACAGTGGGGACCTTGCCACCGCCCAGTCCCTGCAACCGTGCTCAGCATATCCCAGGTACTTACAAAACACTTGTCAAATGAAGAAATTAGAGAATAATTCATAGTCTCCAGAGATTATTAAAATGCTAGCCCAGATGGTTACACCTGCTTCTGGATAATCTCTCAGCTAACCAGTCTCCCACTTTCTTTTCTGGTTCCGCTTACAGCTAGGGCAGTGGTTCTCAACCTTCCTAATGCTGCCACCCTTTCATGCAGTTCCTCGTGTTGTGGTGAGCCCCCCAACCCTAAAATTATTTTTGTTGCTACTTCATCGTTGTCATTTTGCTACTGTCATGAATCAGGCGACTCCTAAGAAAGGGTTGCTCAACCACCACAGGGGTCGCGACCCCCGGGTTGAGAACTGCTGGGCTAGGGTGTAGTAATGACTAGCAGCAGGCACAGGCACCCCAGGGCCTCCTACAGGTTATAAAGCACACCCAACGTGGGCAGGAGCACAAGGTCCACGCCCATCCGCTCCTGCTGCCACTTTCACAGGACACCACTGCGATCACCACCCCGTCCCCCACTGCTCCTGACACCAAACATCGTGCAGCAAGCTTGTGCTGACCCAAAGGGAAGACATTGGAGTTTATACATCTAGAACCTCGACTTCCAACACACAACCTTCGTTCCCAACTCTCCAAGGTTAAACAGAAACCCAGCCTACGAAAACAGCAAGAGGTCAACCGAGTGTGAACACAGCAGGGGCTAGAAGGAAGACCATCAAGCCGATGTGTGGGACAGGACTGTGACAAAGAGCCACAGGGGGGCTTCCTGGCCCAGGAAGGCAGAAGCCAGGGGACTTTGTGGCCTGAGAGGCTAAGGACCAGAGGGAGACTGGGTTGCTGGTGGAGAAGAGGTGTTATAGACCGATGACAGGGTCCTTACTGTCTCCTAATCCTGACTTGTGGTAACCTATTAACTTTCCTAATAACCCCCATAGTTCTAAGTACTGTCTGTGAGCTCTGTAGCCACTGCAATGAATTCACCACACCAGCACAGACGGAGAATGCTGTGGAAGAAGGGCTGGTGTCAGAGCAGGCAAAGATGGGACGTAGAGGTGTGTCTGATGTCTGCCTCTTGGCAACAGGGACGCCACAGGAGGTCAGAGATGGCTCCCGCACGGCTTACTGCAGGAGCCAGTCTTCGCCCCATCCAAGCAAACTTTCTATCTGAGCTACTACAAGCTCTGGCCCTGCCCTGTTCTCACGTCTCCACTGTAGAGTGAGGCCCAGGGGACCGTCCTGGATGTGTCCACACAGCTCCACACAGTGTTCTGGAGAGCTCCAAGAAACCTTCTGAGCTACCTTCCTCCTCTGCCTCCCAGGCCAGAGAGAACTCTGAGAAGAACTGGTCAACTCAGCTCCCAAATACGAATGAAAACATCCGGGCTTCAAAGGTTTGGTGTTCCTGACAAACGTGAGAGGTATATGCAGATCACTCTGTGAGTTAGTTAATTGTGCCAACCTGGCCGATAATCACATGTGGGGCTAATTGAAAGGCGGAGGGATAAATGGGTTGTGAAGCCTCGCCTTTCTAGTTCTCGGGTCTCTTGTTTTGTGATGGTTGCACCGGGTGCAGCTGCCTTAGCAGTTCCCTGCTTCAGCTT